GTACGGTATGAGCCTCAGACTGAAATATCCCAAACCCAAAAACCGTGATTCGGGCAAACAATTGTGAAATTATGCTACGGTTTCTGAGTACCAATGCGTTTCTTTGAAATAAAAGTAAATGAAGTATTTCTAAATCCTCAATTTGACACAGTATTGTAGTATAGCATGTGAATGTACATTCGTGCACCAAACTGAAAGTTTACCCAATCACCGGCTGACTTCCATGCATGTCAGCAAATCAGAAAACCACAGCAATCAGAAATGTCTATCAAAAGTCTATCAAGAGTCGTGAGTTTCCTCAAATACTCAAGTTATTATTCTGACCTATAAACTCCTCCATGTAGTGTTTCAAAATTAAAATTCCTGAGTCAGTGAAAGGATGTTTTTTAATTGCTACTTTTTTTGAGAACTTTAATAATTTGTTTAAAATAGTAGTGCAACTAGAAAAGTCTGTGCATGTAGGCAAATGCTGTGTTAACTTTGCAGGTACCGGTACCTACATGTAGTGTGGACCAAAAGAGATTCACTGTCCACTCAAGGTTACCCTCTTCCTGAATAACAAGCTTAGAGGCATTTTGGGGTGTTATCTTCCGCAAAAGGAAAAGGAAAAATGAGGGAAACCATCAAAAAACTAGTTTAAAAGAGTGTTCAAAGTACCAGAAATGTGTATTTTCACAGCATATGAAGCAAGATATGAGACAGAGAGAGCCGCCGCTACTTTGTGTTGGTCATTGTTTCACTGGAATCCAAGGAACTCTGTTAGTGTTACGACATCTAGGGGGATGTGTTAGGTAACAATAGTCTAGAATGTGTACAGGGATTGGACATGTTCAGGGGTACCCCTCGGTCTCATTTCTTGCTAGATATATTTCATAGAATTTTCTTGACTACATGTAAACCAATTATAAAATTTACAATACCTATAGTAGATATGTAGGTGACATTTATCCAGGTTTATTCTGTGTCAAATTTGTAACCCAGCTGTGCCTGGCATTTGATTGTATTTCACTGATGAAGTTATCAAAATGCCCTGTTATGAAATTCTGAAGTTACATGTACATTACCCAATGATGTCATGTGACTCTGCAGAGTTACCAGTGTTTTGTAATAATTTCTTGTGGAAGGTTATAGCAGTTTGAACAATTCTGTACAGGAAGTGCATTTCCCCTTTTCGCCTTAACAAAAGTGCTCCTTGTTATAAGTGCACTGTAAGTTAGGAAATAAAACTAGTACGTGTACAACTGGTCCTCATTTAGGAATGCGCATATTTTACTTCCTTGTTTGCCGACTGCTATAAAAAGGTGGGAGGAATTAGCTGTTGTTCAGCATTTGCTGCTCGTACCCGGCAGGAGAGCATGCATTATCATTACACTGTTAACTTTGTCCAGTGACTTCTGCAGTGCAGGTGTGCCAGCTGAACATACAGGTGCTTCTGTTAGACACTTGGCAGGTGCAATAAGTTGGAGGGAGCAAATTTACATGACAGGTATAGGGACAGCTAGGTGCAGGATGAACTTAGTCAGTGCATGGTCAGTGCAAGGGGATGCAGTAAACTTTGAAGTCAGGTTTCAACTGCAGTGGTAAATTGGTGCCTCATGGGTTGCAGGTGTACAACTGGATGTCACTGTTGTAAGTTTTAAAATGTCGCACATGTAAGAAGAAATACAGAATCTACATGTACAGGCACCTGTGTCACCAGCTGACGTTTCAATCCCACATCTGAATTTTGATTTTGGAATTTGGGGGCTGTCTTGGAGTGGTATGACTTGTCTGCGGACTTAGTTGGACTGATGTAAAATGGATGTTTCTACCATGCTGATGGACATGAGGGCACCAGTAGCCTGATATGGTAAGGAAGGGTTGACCTCCGTGAGATTTTTACTGTAAACATTAAAAGTGTAAGACAGTATGAATTGCTAGTGGATGTGCCCATTTAAGCCAGCTTGTATGTTTTTTTAGTAGATATTCAGTATTGTACGTAGAGACATCTTGAACTTTATGCTATGTTGCAATCACCAATGAACATGTGCGTACCGGTATGTAACATGAATTTCTAATTCTTCAGGCTGGTACTTTTTCAACCATTTTTAAATGTATAAATGGAAAGGTATAAACATTTTATTCTCCCTCTAAGAGGAGTTTTATTTTTTTTTTGTGGATATGACATTGGCTGTAAATTTTGTCAACACTGCTGGCCTGAGATGCTGGTTTTTATCCTTTTACCCCTTTTTCGAATTGACTGTTTTGAATAGTGAAAGAAAAGGAAACGCGGTTGATGTACTTTGAAAAGTTGTCAACCAGCTGCTGGTCACAAGAGTTTACCGTGGAATTTGTATAGTTTTTCCCTTTGCAACCTTTGGGTATACAAATGCATGTAGAGTGACTCTGTATAGAAACAGAGATGGCTTTTGAGTCGTTCTGGTTTTTCCCAGCAAAGCTCTTATGTTTACTGGTGGTCTCCCCGGCACTATAGGTCCTGTTTTGTGGTCACTTCAGTTCCTGTATTTTTTGTGTTGTATGTGGATAGAAGTATGTGTGCTTTCTGTGCTGGGACTAAAAGCCTGACTCCATCCTGATTTGACAGAGGGCTTTGTTTTGCATAGTCACTGGCCATTGGCATTCTTGGCAAGGATACATGTATGTAGATTGCTGTTCTGTCAGTGATGTGCTCTTTCCATCATTACACTTCTGCATGTGCAAGCCTTTTTTGGTAAGCTGTCAAAACTATTGAGTTTCTTTTTTTAGTACATTTTCTGGAAAATGGAACAGAAGCCAAATATTTGTTTTGTACAAGTTTACATTTGTTCCAAGTGTGTCAATGCTGCACAAACAGATGACAGAAACTAAACACAAGAGTTTATTGGCTTGGGGCCATGTGGTAAAATAATTACCAGCATTTTTGAAAAGAGGAACTAAGTTGAAACCTTATCAGAATATTCATTGTTAAAAATCCACAATTCTTTGCGAATACATGTACTCTACATGTACATGTATGTTTCACTTTATAATTGTGGATTTAACCAGAACGTTCTTTGCTGAAATGTTGAACCTGAATTAAAGGTTGAAATATATTGGGACCTGTTCCTGGAAGGAAAAAAAAAATTCAGATCGCAAGAAGAAGTAACATAGTAAAGTAGGTCAGGTTCAAAGCCATGCTCCAAGTATTTGCACAAATGGATGTGAACCTCTTTGAACCTTTCACGCTGTGTCAACAAATGCCACGGGTTATGCAGCTGAATGAAAGTGAAACTTCTAAGAGCAGTGTAAGAGTACATGTACATGTACTGCATCTGCACCAGTATTGTACATGTATTAAATGACCAGAGTCAAGAAACTTTTACCAGCATATTTTGTTGTTTTTGTTTGCATCTGCTTGTGAAAAAAAGGTTTGTGGGCTGTTTAAATGTGTGATACAAATTCGCAGTATCCTCTTGACGTCTTGACCAATTTACCAGCACGCTTCCGTGAGCTTTTATATGTACTCGTATCTTGGATGTGCTGTGCCAGGGAACGAAAGGATCTTTTTTCTTATTCTTTAAAGAGAAATGAATTTTGAATTCATTCTCATTAGCGATCACTTCTCTCACCAGGTCACCCCGATGTTGGATGACAAACTCCAATCAGCAGTAGGGGGTAGAGAGGAAGGAGCCGCCCGGTCCCGAAATGTCTGAGCTCATTCTCGCCGCCAAGCGAGGGCTGTACCACCGTGTCTTGGCCGAGGTCAGGGAAGGTGCCTCCATCGATGCCACGGACAACGAGGATGCAACCCCTCTGTACTGGGCAGCTTGTGGGTAAGTTTCGCTCATTTTCTTTGACCTGTGTAAGACTAAGTTCACTGAGCTGCCATGCTGAAAAACTGCTTAGTGCAGACAATATTTGCTTAGCAAATAAACGGTTGCCAGCCTGATGGTCTCAGTGTGATATTGCTCATGACTGGTACTATGTGTACATGTATGCCAGTTTTAGCTGAGAATATCAATTTTTGAGCAGGGCTTTCTGCTGACCAGCTTTGTGGAATTGGTCCCTGATTTGTATTCATTAATTGCCTTGTTTACCTAGATCTTACTGGAAGGAGGGTTGATATACCATCGTTAATCAGGTCTGGAAGATAGAAAAGAGATAATAGTAACAATAATGGAAAAAAATTATTTCCTGCCTTTTACAGGTGCATTCAAATGATCAAAGGTGTACTTTAATGAAAAAAGGATAAAACATATGAAAAGACATAAGGATTGAAGAGCAAGCTATGATAAAGACAAATCACTGAGCCATGCCTGAACCACAGTATGGGATACTTGTATGTCTGTCCCGCCAGCCGGGAATTAATGAAAAGAATTACTTGAGTCTTCCGTGATGACATCAGTAACATCTCAACCTACCCTTGTCTGACCCTACCTAGGTCAGTAATTACATGTACGTCAACAACCAGCAGAAATGTAGCACATTATCTTGATCCCTTTGAGTGTTTTGAGCTTGATCTAAGCTGAACTTTGAAGCTTCTCATGGTGAAGGTAGCAAGTTAGTTGTAGAGGTATCGGCAGCACCGTTCAAGGATATCTCTTTTATGAGTACATGTATGTGTGGTTCTGAGAAGAACCGGAGGGTTCAGAACCACACATGGTCTTAAAAGAGATATCCTTGCATGGTTCTACCGCAGACTTCTACAACTAACTTGATCTAAGGTTTAATCAGGAGCAGATCCCGTTGGGTCCTGCCAAGGGATATGATAGTGGTGGTGCTAAATTGTCTGAACGGGCAGTATGGAGTTATCTAGAAGTTCTGCAGATACCACTGACTTGTACAAATGGAGTTTCCTTCTTTTCCTGATTTACATGCCATCACATTGGCCGTTCTAGTTATAACCAAAAAGCAGTATTTCCATTTCAGAATTCGAATTGTTTTTTTTTACCAGGCATGCACGTTCTTGTGTGTATAAAACAAGTGATTCTTGTTTTAGAGAAAAAAAGCAAGAATAGTTCCAAAGTTGCCACAAAAAAGGCCAAGGGTCTGACAGATAATGAGTTCTCATACTGAACTCTTCACAGTAGTCACAGTAAAGTCTGTACCAATATCCTCTCTTGAAACCCTCGTTATCTCTTTCCAGTGGACACTCTGAACTTTTCACAGTGGTCACAGTAAAGTCTGTACCAGTAGCCTCACTTGAAATCCTTGTTATCTCCTTCCAGTGGACACTCTGAGATCTGCAGGCTACTTCTTAGCAAAGGAGCAGACACCAACTTGGCTGTTCAGTGGGGGTCAACTCCCCTCCATGCTGCAGCAGACAGAGGTCACACTGATTGTATCAAGTACCTCCTCAGATAGTAAGAATTTTTAGAAACTAAACACCTTTTCAAATTAACTCTCCGTTCTCATAATTTGATGACTGTTGGTAACTTTTTAATTAGTTCTACATGTAGAAATAAAGATAAATGATGCTTTTGCCAGCCGAACTGTTGATGAAATTTAGTGCTTCAGTGAATCGAACAACATTGGACTCAAGTCAGCTTCTTGACTCTCTTGACTTATCTTGATCCTGACTTTTCGACTGCCCTGAAAGGAATGTAGCGATGTTTCCTCCTGAAATGGCAAAATTTAAATGTGGAATTTATTTCTGTCTGTAATTCATAGTGGTGCTGACATCAACGCCCAGAACAACAATGGCGACACGCCACTTCATCTGGCCTCGTTCCGAGGCCACAAAGAGGCCTGCGTCATCCTGGTATCTCATGGTGCTGATCCCACCATCCTCAACAACCACGGCAAGACGTCACACCAAGAAGCCCAAGGGGCACAGCACAAGGACATCACCAAGATCTTCACGGAAAAGAAATCTGGTATGTGACTGCAGTGCTGTGGATGGAGATTTTTGTCTTTGGATAAATGTGGTGCAGTAATTAGGGAATTGGTATTAACTTTTTTCCAATAATCTTGAACCCTTTGGTAACATTTTTAACAATCTGCTACATTGCCTGCATGTGGCATTCGTTCATTGGTTTCTGTTGTTTCATTTCTTCGCACGTTGAAAATGCAGTCATGATTTATTTTATACTAATTACTACCAACTTGATCTTGTGCTTTCCCGCGCATTCTATCAGCACTGGCTTTATAAAATGGCACACTCCTTGGTTAAGCATTTGCACAGGTTCATGCTTGAAAACTTATGTGAACATAATTTGGAAATTGATACTCATAGGGATGGCCGATGAATAAACTTCCAAGTAGCTGATGACTTTTTTTTTTTTAACCTTCAGCAGTTCCCATTGCGTTTGTACCAGTATATAATTTAACATATGGCAAGTCAGCGGAGGTAGACTGTTGTACAGACCCTATGCGACAACAGTAAACTCTCGCTAACTAAAATCCAATTTTGTCACCCCCGATATTGGAGGATTCTGGCGGATTGAGGAGTTTCCCTAGCAAAAAGGGCCTGGGGGCTAGGGTTTAAGGTCCAATAGGAACACTGTTTTATCACAGTTCATGAAATGACTAATGAGCATTGCATGTTGAACCACTAACCACAGCATGTGCATATTGCTTTTTTCCTCCCCTCTTCCTCTGCATCTGACTCCTCCCCCCAAAAAACAACAAAGCTTATCGAGCCTCGTCATACCCACTTACATTACCAGCAAGCAAGGATGTTGCGACAACGAGACAAAGACTACGCGCGAGCGATAGTGATGATTCGCTGCTACGGGCAAAGAAGACAAGCCTAAGAAAGAATCTCCTCGCCTCATCTCTGGAAAAGCAAGTAGAAAGGCGAGAAAGGTAAAATGTTGATCGTTTTATTAGAAATATTTGAGGAGTGCGATTGTTGTACCAAATTCAATCTAAACTTCTACCCCTACCCAACCAGTGTTGAAGTACACATCTGTGAAAACAAGTACGTGTATATTGCATTGAATGTTAGTATGAGAGTTATACTTGTTCATGAATCTCAAGTAAAGAAAAACAAAATAGTTCTTGAGTGCAGTATTCCAGCATCCATGGAGTCTTTTACAAACTGGATGTAGACTTTGCATTTTTTGTATTTCATACAACCCAGTGGGAAGTTCTTAATTCCTTCCTTGTTGGGAAAGTGAGGCATGAAAAAGTGACAACTTACACAGTGACAAATCCATTCCAGTGTACCAGAGTCAGTCCCCACTCTTCTGGGTAACCACATAAGAGTCCTTGTCTTCGTTTGCGGTTTCATTGAGCCATCTGTCCACTTGTTTATCGACTGAAATGTCATCTGGTTGCCAGGAGTCACATGGAGTCGCAGCCTATTGGACCCTTTTTTACCAAATGCACAAAGACCCTCATGATACAGATGAATTATAATCCCTGCTTTTTTGTTTTCAAACAGACCGGGAACCAAGCTAATTCCGTGTAATCTCAATCGGCTCTCTGATGATCCAGGGAGCTCGCCAGCCTACCATCACCACCACAGGCCGTTCTCGGACCCAACCCCTTCCCTACTTGGAGGCCCGCTAAACATTGAGGAGTTCTCTGACCCAGCCAAGTTAAACAACATCATGTCAGATGAAACAGATTTCCATCGAAGGCAGGAAGAGACTGAGCGGGATCATTACATCGCGGCCATTGACAGCCTCCAACTTAAGGTGGCATTGCTGACTTCGCAAAAGGAAGCCCTGGAGATGCAGCTTCGTGAGGGTGGCGGAAGCCCAAGCCAGGAGCTGATCCGAAAGGAGTTAGAACAGAAACTTAGTGGAATGACAAAAGAACTTGAGAAGCAACATCTAGAAAGGAGAGCATCAGATGCTCGTAGTCGCCAACTGGCAATGGAACTCTTTCGATTAAAACATTCAAAGCAGGGATATCAGAAAAGACCTTCTCTGGGTGACTTGCCAACCTGTTCATCCTCAGATACGTCTGTAGGAACAGAGAGCTTGATCTCGGAGTACAAAAGCTTATGTCGGATGAAGCAGAACTCAGAAGGATCGTTGACAAAGAGTATTTGTTCCTACCTCCAAAAACCTTACCTATGTCAGGACTCTAGTCTTCAGCACGTCTTTGCACTGATGCAGGAAGGCAAGGCTGCCATTCAGATCCTGAAGACTTCCACCACTAACAGGCTGTGCTCGATACGATCAAGCCTGAATGAACTGAAGGAAGAGTTATCAATTGACAAGGCTGGGAAGCAGTGGACTTTAGAGGAAGACTATAAGGTTATGGATGGAAGGCCTGTTGACAGAGAGTTGAGGCAGTCTGAAGATGGTTTGATTGCTCAAATGTGTGTTCGGGTCCTGTACAAGGATCAAACATACATCATGAAGGTAAGTCATAGTCAGGCTGAACAAGTCCTCCATCAGCCGCATTTAAGGTGAAACACTATTGTCAGTGAATGACTTTTGTTTTCCATTTTAAGTCATGATGTGAACTGTCAAGACCTCTGTCTTTCCTAACTTGCACCCATCCGTAGTTCCAAAACGCAATGCAGAGATCAGGAACCAGTCCACTTACATGTAGCTCCAGCTATCTGTCAAAATGTGCCTCCTAGAATGCTTTGTTTGATGTCAAATTCTGTTAAATTTGGATGTACCAGTATAAAACTGAAATACCCTTTATTTGCTTCTTTACCATGTGATGCCTTTTTACATGCACTTATAGCATCGTGCTCAAAATACATCATTCAGTGTGCTTGGTGCACTTCGGCTTGTAGTCTCAGAAAACTAAGAGGACTGAAGATGGTTACTTTTAGGGGGTGTAGTGGAAGTTGGCATAGGATGTTGTTGAAGTATGGTAAACCTACAGGTAGGAATGAAAGACACAATTCTGGTTTGGTTTGAATTTGGTCTTTGGTCACTGAAGTTGATATAGAGGAGGAAACTATCACTGTATCAAGCTACCAGTAACAGGTGTAACTTTTATGGCTGGACTACAAATTGAACTCTACAAATTTGTGGTACTTTGGGTGCAGGTGTTAATGAGCCACAGACGGTCACCTAAACCACTAATCCACCAGTGTACAGCAGACTCCCTAGGAGCTGAATTCAGTGTTCTGGAGTCTTTATGCGATGCCCCTCACCCTCACATCACAAGAATATGCCACCACTTCGATGTTCCAACCTCTGAATTGCGCAGTATCTTTGATGTTTCATCGTTTCTGGACAGTGCCAGCTTTGGACCATTGTCAGACAGGACTGCTATGGTCATCTTTCCAGATTACTGTACAACTCTAGACCACTTGGTTTCATCACTTGGTGTTGATCACTCCTTGACCTCGTCCAGATCTATTCACAATTCATACGAGGCGTTTGTGCTACGACTGTTGCTGCAGCTCTTGAAAGCCTTATCACACCTGCAGACCAATGGCATAGCTCACAGGGATATCAATGCCAAAGCTGTCGTCATCGACTGGAACATGAAGTTGGTGCTCGGCGAGTTTGGGCATGCAAGAAAGTTGAGAAATGACGAAGGACAAGGAATACCGTTCGTTGAGAAAAGCCAGATCAGTGCTGGTAACCCCCTCGCTTGGTCTCCTGAGCTGCTGCAGTACTCTGTCAACGGACCACCAAAATCGTGGCAGAAAGTTGTAAGTTTTGACCTGCAAAATTGTGTACATCTACTCTCTCAAAAAACAGATTTGAAATGGCTTTAGAGAAAACTTCTGAATACTTACATCATTGCAATATTTGCCAACTTGGAGCAAAATCAGTACCTGATATAAATTTATTCATTTACATGTAAGCATCTCTTCATAAATTCCCTGAAAGTATGCTTTACTGTTAGTTAAATGGAACGTAACATGGAATACTTAACTGTTACTGTTGTTTTGGCTTTCCAAACTCAGTTGACCCTCACAGATGTGTATGAAAGTTCAGATATGTACAGTGCTGCTGCCATGCTATGTAGCCTCTTCACTAAGCTGCCAATGGAGGAGTCCACACAACAACCTGACATGACAGCAAAGTCATTACCTCAAATTTCATACCAGCCTCCTGGGTTTCTATCCAGCGAAGTAAAGGCTCTGTTTGAGCGTCTTCTGAGAGAGAACCCAGCAGAGAGACCTACTTTGCAGGAGGCAACTTTGAGGTCAGATTGCTTTCTTCTGTGCACCACAGCAATGGTTTTTCAAATGTAGATAGTTAAAAGTTTCTCAATTTCCAGAGGATGAATTACAGCACTTCTTGTTAAGAAAATGGCTCAGCACAACCGATACTAACTTTGCTATTTCTTTAAAAATTGCCTGTGGTATTGCTTTCACTGTAAACTGATCGTCCATAAAAGACGTCCATGCAAAAGACTTCCAAACTTTTCAAGTAGATTGCTCTACATATAGGGGTGTATTTGGCCTTGTGGTTAAGGTTTGTGACTCATGAGCAGAGGGTCAAGGGTTTGAATCCAGCTGTTTGCCATAAGTTGTGGCCTTAGGCAAGTCGCTTCACCCCTGCTTGCCTCCCTCCACACAGGAGTATTAATGGGCATCAGCATCAGCTTGTGAACAACCGCAATGATCTGGTATCCCATCTGGGGGATAGAAAATATCTCGGTCATTTGCTCATGCAAAGGAAATTGGAGAGAAATACTAGTCTGATGAAGCCAAATGGCTCACAGCAGACTTCCTTGCTCTACATTTCTCGATGAAAGTAGAAAGCTTTAATTCCCTCCGTAGTTCCAATGGTTAAAGGACCCCAGGTACCTCTCAACTTATCTACAAATTTTATCTCACTCTAGGACTGCTATGTTGCTGTATGGCCCAAGACTGTCTGCTGTCAACTCAGTTCAAGATGTGGATGCCTGGGTGCAAGCACAGGACATCAGGATGCTTGCAACACCTCCTCTACTTAACACAAGGTAAAGTGCTGTTCACATATGCTGGAAGTGGCACAATGGGTTCGTCCAAGAAAGAAGTGGAAAAAGAAGAAGACAGGGGTTTTTTCGTTAGGATACCTGCAAGATGTCATCACTCAATAATTTCACAAGGCTTCACAACTTAGTCTTTTTAATCTAGAGTTTGGACAGCCTTGAGATTTTGACCTTTACACAAGAAAATTAGAGCCTCAGGGAGACGGTATTAATATAGCTTAGATAAGGTAATGTACAAACCAGGCTTCTGTTAGAAGTGGAGTGCTATGTTCAAGGCTTAAACCATCATTTGAGCACAACTTTGGTAAAGATCCTTACATTCTTGAATCTGTTTTTTTTTTCTTCAGAGAACTGGATGAGCTTGCAAGACGTCTTGACTGGGAGCTTTGCCATGATTACCTCCACTCCGTGTCAACCAGTGAGCTGTGGCAACTTTGTAATGACCCACTAGTAGGATGAAGATCTTCATCATAGTCATCAGTTGACAAGTTGCTTTTTGTTGTGACTCAGCAGGGGGCATGCGCGGATAGCTCTCTCCTTACAGCTGTTCAGAGAGTTATTTTGCTAGGTGGGAGGCACGCATGAAAGACACATCACTTCTCCAGGTCACTTGAGTGAGTTACAAGGATAGTGTGCCTGAAAGACTCACACTCCTAAGACCAGCATTTCTTGTCAGGGAAGATATTTCAGGAAATGTAAAATCTATCCTCCTAAAGCCTGTAAAATCCAACACATGGTTGTGCATAGGTGAAGTGGGTGAAGAAGTGTTCAGGCCTGTTACTGTCACTTTACACAGGGCTAAGATGTCCACATTTTAGGAGGTTCAAAGATATGCTACATAGAATTTGGATGCTGTACTTGATGGATTTTGCAAGAACTCACAAAGTACCCAGCAAAAATGCCCACAAAGTTTGGGATAGAAGGGTCACCCTGCTGTCAATTGCCAGCAATATTTCCACAACTAGGCAATGAAAATCCAAAATTTATCCCAGTCCGCCCCGAGCTGAAAGGCACCTTCAATCGGCAAAAAGAAAAACGAGTGGTTACAAGCATGTAAGCAAAGACCATACATGCCAGAGTAACTTAGTCACGCGTACTCAGCGTGCTCTGCCTCATGGGCGCCTATGCCGGGTGAGTACCCAAAAAACACGCCCTCTTTTGTTCTGCTCGGAGCGGATAGAATGAACATCTTACCAAAAATCTGAGTGTGAATTGTAGGGTTGAGGGATACCCAGAAGTTACACAGTATGCAATTTGGCAGGCATGCTCTTCAAGGAAAGCCTGTGGGGAAAAAAAAACATAGACCCGATTTCTGCTTAACAGCAGAAAAGTCTGGCTTACCCTAGCAGAAAAATTTGCTAACCTTAAGCACTATTTTATGGTGGTGCTTGGCCAGGTTGTGCTTACGATTGTGCTCACATAAAGATTTCCATTGTTTTGTCACTATGTTAAGCAAATATTTCCTCCAAAGTAAGCAATGCCTTTTGCCATGCTTACTGCCTCCATGAAATACACATAGCCTCTGTTTACTGTAAAACTGTGTGCTTAGCAGCGCCATGGAATTGGGCCATGGTTACTCCTTCAGATCGGGTGCTGCTGTTCTCTTGACATTACCACACTCTTCTATGTCCATACATGGCAGCTACATGTAATCTAAATACGTACTCCTTACATGTGCAAGAGATGCACCACTGCAGCAATGAGGTGTCTGAGTTGGATCACTTCATCAGCTGTTGCGCCTAACTTTTCTGTAAATAACTTCTAAATTGTAGTGGAGCTTTGTCACATGTGCGTGCTTGCTACTACCATTTGCAGTGTAGGTAGTTGCTTGATATGTAGGTATGCTTGGGGGAGGAAAGTGGGAAAAGGGCAGACTTTTGATATACCTCAAAAAATGAGGGTTACTGCATGTCACTAGTAGCCCTAAGCCTCAAGATTTAGTAAACATTTATATCTTTTGTAAGATTTAGCATGATTGCAAGGATAGCATAAAATGCTGGTTGCATGTTTAAGGTTATCCTGTTTATAGTTAAATTGATGTTAATTAAATCAATAATAAATATTACATTCTCCATAGCTTTCAGAAATAACGGCAAGTAGTTAGCTTTTATATTAATTTGCAAGAATAAATAATGTACATGTATGTAAGTATTGCCAATATGCATTAACTTTTAAGTGATTTTACTTACATCTAAAAGTTTTTACTCAGTTCTGATGAAATTCATCAAGCCTAATAATCTCAGAGTAGACCTATTCTGTATTTCACAGAATATTGTTTCTTGTGCCATGTGATGCAGAGTCTGGAGGAAAATGGCAAACTGCTGAATAGATGTTCAGGGTGAACAGAGGAAATTGGCAAGGGAGGTTTGAATCTAAACACTGAAAAGCCGTAGGGTCCATAGCAAAACTGATAGGGCTCCTCCTCAAAGATTAGAGTATAAATAATAGGCGGAAAATAAGAGGTGCACAACTGAAGGCGCTTCCGTTTCATCAATGGTCCTATGAAGGGGCGAACTGCGTGCACAATGTTGGAATGCCTTTGTCTTCACACAAGCATGCTATCTTTTGTCATGACAAAAGTTTTCCAACATTAACACAGAGTCAACCAATATTGCACAACGTGGCAAACTACCAGTGAGTGTGGGTTGAATTTATACTTTGACAAAAGTGAAATCGTAAAACTATTTGATGAGTCAGAGCTCTTTTCCTTCAGACTTTCTGGCAGAATATATGTATGCTGTAACAGCGTTTTGGTTGTATATACAGTAAAATAGCTGTTCGGCTAAAGTTTTTTCATGTTTAATTTTGTAAAATATCTAGTTACAAATTTAATATATTTTTAGCATCTTTCATCTGATTAATGAATGCACCTCATGATTGTAAAAACAGAAAAATTTTAATTTTGATTTATACCTAAGACTGACAAGGAAGACTTGTTTCAGGCAAAGGCATGCTTAGATCTTGTATATGTTTTTCTCAATAACTTTGTGAAGCTAATTCCATCTACAAACATAAAATAAATTGCACTTTAACAAAGAGCTTTTTGCAAAAGAATTATACTTATTTGTAAACAATAGATATAATGTTTTTCTATGGTTGTATTGGCTGTAATATGATAACTTACCTATGATGTTCTAGGTATTGTACAAAATTTGTCATTCAGTGTTTGTGTTACTGGTATAAAGTGTCACATCTCTTTACTTTTTTTTCAGTGTTCACCGTGGGTCATTTTTGCAGTAAATGCACTCACATTTTTAATGGAAGTTGTCAGATTTGAGACAAGAAGTGCTTGGAAGTACAGGTTAAAGTGGCAAAATTTTGATGTATATTCTTTGTTTAAAAGACTGTTAATTAAAAAAGGACTTTAGTTGTCCAATGAAGTAACTCTGATTTAGTATTAAATATAATTAATAGGTGTGACAGTCAGTCATAAGATGTAAAGTTCCTTGGTGCCATGCCTTGTTGCAGCAATATATAACTAGAAGTAACTCATGTCACAGGATAGTCATGGTTACATAAGCATTGTTGCAAAGGTAAAACAGCACTTCTAGTGCTTAAAGTAAAGAAATCTGTAAAAAAAAATACGGAATGCTTGTGGCCTAAGTTCATTTTTGTTATCTTAGAACTGGTATGCACGCCAATTAATGCACTGTGAAAGAAAAGAATAAATGGATCAAGAGAAATTAATTGTCTCCACCTTGTATTTCTTAGTAGATCAAGTTTTTACCCTTTTTCCTGGCAGCAAGATTTCAGTGCGTAATTGGGCAGGGTAGAGCACTCATTAGCCCCTCCAACCATCCTGTCCTCACAACTCAAAGACATTTTACCTTGAACTTGTCTCTCTTTCACAAACTGTACGGTCCTTTGCCTCCCAAAAGTAAACTTTCAGGAGTTGCGACCCCTCGCAATGTAAACTTGATAATACTTATATACTTATACTAATATCATTAACATATCACCTTTTGATATGTAATATTTGAAATCAGTTGATGTTACACTTGTTAAACTCTGTGGAAAGTGTCCCAACCATCTCGAGTTGACTAAAGTGTTATATACAACCCCTTTATTTTCAAATCGTCTTTTTAAGCTTTTTATTTTCATACAATGCACGTTTTATCCTGACAGTGTGATCATCTTGTATGCTGAATTCTATGGAACCTGTCAAGATGTCACCTGCTGCAGGTGATGGTAACACGTAATTAATTGGAGCCTCTGACCCACAGGAAACATTTGTATGGGATTGGAGAACAATACGTGGTTAGAGAATGATGTAGACTGAAATGCTTTCTTTGAAAAACAAAAGCAGAATGTGGGGAGATTGCACTTCACACATTTTTTTAATGGTTCCCTGCCATGTAAAAGGAACTATTACCGAGTATAAGCTGCAAGGGGTCTATTGATATGAAATAATTATTACTAGATTCTACGATTCTATGACTTGGCATAATATCAAATTTGAAATTTGCTCTTTAACCTATTCTCTTTTAGTACTGATGACTTTTTAAAAAATCTACCAGTAGTTTTAGACTATTTCAAGTAAAAAGTGAGCAATCAATAAATTAAATGAACAAAATTTAAAAGTGGTGTTTTGTTTTAATACAAACCTTCAAAGTGCACCTTTATGTCCCAGCTAACCTCATTTGCCTTATTTTTCACCATTTCAATGGTATTTCACTGCCTTTTTGGTTTTTATGCTGATGATATTCATGTCATCTCGGAGAGAAAGCCTCAATGTTACATTGGTTTGTACACAAAAGGTGTTGCATTTTTGTAGATTTTGCTGGACTAATTTTTGTCTTCTTTGCTGATTCCTCGTTTATGTGCATAGCAATAAGCAGCATCAATCCCTTTCTTAGAAATGTTTTCAGTGAGAAAATTCTTGGTTAAAATTTGAACCAAAAAATCTATGCGCTGACTAAGGTCTTCTCTAGATGACATCATGGCAAGAGAGCCCTCAGTTGACCACAAAAAATTGATCATTTTTAAAGTAATAAGAAAATTTAAAGTAACAAAATAAATGTAAAAGAGTTATCACACATTTAAGAAGAGTAAAAGGTGCCAAAAAAATGTGTCTAAGAAAAATTCATTGCTGCTACACTTTAAGTGTGGCGCCTTTTCGTAACTACAGTACCTCAAGGTGCTGTACTCTCATTCGGCTTTATTTGAAAAAGAGCAAGCGTCAACTTCACCTAGCATGATCTACCTGAACCTACAGTTGTAATAATAGCAAGGGCAACATTATGTAGCAACGGGTTCAATATATTAAAAAAGAAAAAGACTTGGGACTGGTGACGCCCTTACATTGATTTCACCAGAAAGGAAACGTTCTTTAAGTTTAATAAAGAGAAAATAAGAGTTTCTCCTCACGGCGTAAATGCGACGACACATTTTGTGTCAAATAAAATGGCAGAATGGACCCTAGCCTTTTCCCGATTTGTGAGGCTCGAAATTGCTTTAAAAGTTCTGGAAATTGTTGAGGTAAATTGACAAACACCAATATCACACAGCGAAAGCTGACAAAATGGTCATATAAAAAGAAGTCAACGTAGGCCTATGCGTATAATGTACGTTTTACTATAACGTAGATTTACATATTTTTCGGTGCATCAACACTTGAACGGCCTACCTGATCGTCAAAACTCGCAAATCTTTCAAAAGCCGGTATTTTCCCTCAAAAACGTCGCTCGCTGTTATCTATCCCTGTCCTCCAACAGTAACAACTTGAAGTTCTCTGAAGTTGAGATTTTATCTTTGCAGTATGTGCAGAACTGTGGCCATTATTTGACGCGAGCCGAACGAACAAAACAACACGTGAACTTGTTAAGGTTTTGCACGTTGGGCGCGCGCGAAACAATACCACTCTCTTCTAGAAACGTGTCAGTGCTATCCCACAATGCCGAGGGGGAAAACTAAGTTGATCGTCTGCCAAGTGCACGGGCTCATTGAATACCTATTCAAACTTGACAGGAGACGCGGCCTATATTTGTACTGCTGGTGCAGTCTGATGCGCAACTGTTAACGTTGTTGTCGCCAAAAGAAGGCATTTTAAAGACACCCCCACAAACCTGGGCTCCTGAATTCTTTGAAGGATGACCTCCAAAACATTAGTTATCCCTACAAATATTTCTATATAAGAACCTTTTCATATGCATAAAGATCCATGGCCACGGCCCCGATGAACTTCGGACCAATCACGTTGACTTCGTAGCTAAGAGCTTCCTGTTATTATGTATATATAATTGCAAAGTGGTTCGGCTAGTCTAGCGGTCTGTAATAAGTACCCCGTGTTTTATCAATCAATCTCAATTTACCGCTCACTTGCATGATAAATAAAGTGCCCATAAACATCCAGAAATAAACAAAAAACTGTGCGTTGCCATCCAAGAGAAATTTAGTCAGCGTGGTTTCTTTTTTATCACCATCGCCATCAGAACATCTCTTCGAAGTGTGCAAACATTTTTATGACTATACCCTTGTTTCTCTCTTACGGTGGCCTTTCTCGGACTGGCATCCTCGAGCCCCGAGCTGCCCAACTCAAAAGATACCACTACACTGTATTTAATATATATAACTTTAAGCTTCGTATGAACTTTATCGTGACTAGGCCTACAACTCTGTCGACACCACGTACACACTCACCGTCGGATGAATACTATCCCGTATGCATTCTTCGATGACCACCACGGGTTCGAAATCAGACCAACCTCCAGACGGTTCACCATTGCAACCGAAGAAGTGACGTCACGTGCATAACTTTCTTGTTCGGGATTTACCCTTGTCTGTATTTTGGATTTTTGAAGCCGTGGCCAGTGAAAGCTGTTGCTTTGTCTGCTTTTTTAGCGCTAGTCATATTTTGGTTAGAAACATCTGTTTAAAACTGCGCAGAAAATAAACACACAGAAATAAGTTTTTCTGAGCACAGGATATTTTCCTGCGCATACTAGGCTTTGAGTGAAATATTACTTGTTCCATTGGAAGAAAAATACAACGCCAGAGTCCCCTCTGAAGGGAATGACAGAAGTAACAACACTACCACTCCGTTTTCGACTGCTGATGAAAGAATTCTGGCTCTCACCCCCGAAGCACGCACTCCATCGCCGCCTCAGCTGTGAATTCACACGGTGGCGCGTAGGTGCGAGGCTTTTATTGAAACTCTCTGACGGATCTCTCAGGAAACCACGAGAGCTCGGAGGTGACGGGAAACGGGCCCTGCATTATTGAAGACGCCTTTCGGTTTTGGAAGCAAAGCTTCCTCAACTAAATGATGCTATTTGCGTCACACGTTTGCTAGGTCTCAATCTTGGAGATAACTACTTGTAGCTTCGTGGTATTGATACACAAAATCCATCCTTACAATAAAACCCAAGGTCGTCATTTTTAATGGGGAATCAGCGGAATCCTTTGTAATACATCTCAGATTCCACTTTCCTGTCTCTTTCACTCCTTTAGTGATGAAACTGTATTGCGGACTCGAATAGGAAGTCAATTTCCCCCATCTTGCGACCATCATCTCTTCCAAATGAGATGGTATCCCCGCATCCAGCGTGACAAAGTAACGATCGGTGAAACGCCTAAACCACCTGCTGTCTCCAGACCCGTAGCTTCCCCACGAGATCCCGCTGCATTGCCAGTCGGTTGTCTGTGAGTCCTCCGATGTCCGGAAATGAACAAAGAAAGCTCGCGCGCTGCCCTTTGTCAAAAACACCTGTCTATTTTCGTGGCTCTATGAATGGAACTACTTATCGTCAGGAGCTGGCCACGAAAAACGATCTGTGGTTATTTCGCAGGGTTAGAAATCGCTTCGAGTGCTCGGCGGTATTCGAATCTCGTCCAATATTGCGTACAGGTATGGGCAATGATTCTGTTGTACACCTGACTCAATCATCAACCAAAACATGTCGGGGAAAATGGTCTACTAATAATTATGACCGAGCATGCAAACGTTCATTTTGATGTTAAAGAAAGAAAGAGAGAGAGAGAGAGAGAGAGAGAGAGAGAGAGAGAGAGAGAAGGGCATAGTTTCCTTTTCTCCCTCCCCCAACAAAAAGAAAAAGAAAAAAATGAACCCCTCTCTATGGGGCAAGAAGTTACGCGAGCTCTTTCCACATGTAGTTGCAATCAGCATATTATGATCACAACACGACGGAACCATGGCCGATTAATTTCCTCAGTTTGGAGTTTGAATTATGTCATTTCCCCTCGTTTATTTGTGTAACAATGACACTGTTGGTAATTTTCGAAATCTAGATGAGCACGTAGCTCTTCAGACTTCTTTCCAACCATCGATAACGATAACAAATATTAAACAAAAGTAAACCCACGTCGATTCTTGCAAAAGAATGGTGGGGAGATTCCAACCCTGCAACCGATCAGCAAATTTCATTGTTGTTCGACTCAAGTAAGGATACATTTCTATACATACTCGTCACAATCCTTGACCGTTGGAACTGAGTCCTTCTGGCGGGAAAGTGTCCGGACGTGGATCTACTTGATTTTAGGTAATGCACTGAATTCAGGAGCGGGACAAAGAGCAAACTCTGTGTTGTTTGATTTCCTGTTTCCATGTTCCCCCGAGTACACGGTACGAGCTGCAATTATATCTCAACTGTTGATGTAAGAGACTTTATTGTCCCAAAATGCACAGGTACTTTTTTCATTCAACATATTTTCCCGCGCTCTCATGCACC